ATTGTAACTTTACTGATTTGACGGTAGTTTCCGCAACAACGCCATTCCTTATTCTTCTTAGCTATGACCTGAAGACCGTTTGCCCACAGAGATTGAAAAGGCATTGTCGTAAGAGGAGTATGCGATTTACTACATGCCGCTTTATTTCAAAATATTTTTCCCCGATAGCATTTGTAATAAGATTAGATACGACTTTGAACAAAAGAGACAATAACCATGAGTAACGACTATATCTCTATAGAGATAAAAAAAAAATATATAAAAACTTAAATGTTTTTTTTTAGTATTTAATTAGTTATGAATGTGCGTTCCCGTGTGTACTCAAGTGATTGTTCGAATCAAAAACTCTTTTGTATGGAGTTTGTATTTTCTCAATTATATAGAGTTTGTATACGGGAATTATTGAGTACGAATATAAACACATTAATCTCGCATCGATGAGGCTTTTTTACAAAGGCCTGTTGAATGGTTGAGTACGAATATACGTTTATTCTCTAAAGGCCTACAATACATCCAAAATTCTTGATAATTGTATACACTTATTCTCAAAGGGGCACAATACATGCAAAATTCTTGATAATTGTATACGCTTATTTTCAAAGGGGCACAATACATGCAAAATTCTTGATAATTGTATACGCTTATTCTCAAAGGGGCACAGCAAGAGTGAGTAAAGTAAATACTCACAACCACGCGTTGCAATGTTTGATGTAATTGTAGAAAATGAAAAACCAGAAGCCAAGCAAAAAGCTTTGAAAATGAATTTTTGCTTAAAACTATTTAAATACATTATGATTTCTTATTCTCAGCAAGCTATGATTGCACGTGAAGGTGATTTATTGACACGCGAACGCCTCTGCTGCGGACTTAGTATTTTCGAAGTTATACTCAATCGAATTAAAAGTTATTTGGACGATCCCGTCTGGACTGGACCATCGCCAGCTAATGGCATTATTCATGTTGATGAATGTTCAGAATTTCATCGTTTATGCTCGGCTTTGCAATTTGTTTATTGTATACCGGTAACAGGCACTGAGTATACCATAGAAGAACTTTTCGGTGAAGGCTTCATCAAGTAGCACATGCTTAAAATGATTGGGTGGATTTGCAAAAAATTGCCAAGTGTAGCACAAGTACCAATCGTTACTCGATGGCGCCCTAAATACTCCATTTGACTTTTCATTTTGAGTCCGGACTTGGCCGTAATAATCTCATCTTCCCAATTGTAATTTAGGCCAGTATCCCAGTGTTTGTTGCCTGTTGCGCAATACGGCATCAAATGCTCTGGTATAAGTCCTTTTTTGAGCTCCTTGTGGGATACTAGACGTATAAGCTCATACATTCTGAGTACGCCGATCAATTGCGTCGTTATTACATCAGCAGAATTGTTCGAAGGTGTGCCTACAAGCATACGTGCAGTGGGTATCAATTTAAAAATTTGTACAATCATTTCCACTAGCGTTGCCGTTTTTCCGGTCCGGGAGGGCCAAAAATCACATATGGCATGTTGCGAATTTTTCCTCGTAGTATATTTGGTACGGCTTTCTTCTGTATAAACTTCACTTTGGAATTGTACCATTCATATTGGCGATTGTCTAACAATAGATTTTCCTCACCATTTAATCTTACATCCAATTGTGAACGTTCACGCGTTTGTACTTGGGAGGGAAGCAAGAACTGTTCCCCCAATTTTTCAGCCGCTCTTGAAATGGCGTAGTGCTGTCATACCGAGAGAGGCAAAATTCTAGACGATAATCTCGGTAGTCATATTCCCGCTGAAAGTTGTCATCGAATCTAATTAGGATTCGATTGCGGAGCACTTCGTGAATCGCTCCTTTATACATCTCTTTGACATTTTCGCCGTCGGCCCAGGGGTTTTCGTCTTTAACCCTGTCTCCAATTACTAATGAAGGACGGCATTCGGAAAGATTTTGTATGCCCAGAGCTAAGTACTTTCTAGGTGGCTTAATAGACCAACTCGTAGTAAAGATTTCAAGAGAATATCTGTAATTCATATGTAAATGTGTTTGATAAACGTCGCTGTTCATGACCCTATAGCTCACGCCTTGAGATTTGGACGGGCGAATGATACCTATTTTAAGCACGTAAGAAAAGTCCTTTCAACACTCAGACGACATTTAGTATGAACTCGGCATTTAGTTTCTATGATGACTAGTGGCATGGTCAAGAAGGCGTAAAAGTGTTCCGTATCCTAAAATTGTTTCAAGGCACAATATATTTTCATACATGGATTGTCGTCTTTAAAAATCATAGTAATACTAAGCGAAAGTTTTCGGCTTGTTTGAGCGTTTGATGACAAGTGCCTTTTTCAGTCGTCCAACTTTTTTTTAAGATCTGGAAGTGAATGAAATTGGATTAAGAAATTGTAAGCGATTATTGGTTTTGACAACAAAAAACATTAATTTCCAGCAGAAATTGTGACGTAAGCCAAAACCTGGAGAAAGTGTAGTGATACCAAAATTCATGGTTTGTGTACCATTAGCTGGGTAGAAATTTAACGGAAAATTTTCGTATTTGTTGGAAAATAATGACTCTGAATGGAAGAATTTGAAAACTACTGATATATCATCTCCAGTGTCAATCAAAAAATAGCACTTAGAACGACGATCTTTGATAAAAAGCCGGCAGAATGGGGTGGGTATATGCTCGATGCCTCCGAAAACGTATCCAGTGTTTTTCATTAAACGGGCAACATGAAAGACATTTTCGTGCCTTATTTCCGAGTTGGTTGTAATACCAGCACCATTTCTTTTGATAAGAATGACATTAAAAGTGACTGTTTGACGGCATTTTCCAATTTGGCGCACTGCAGATTATGAAGGTAAAGTTTGGAAAACCTTTTTTCTACGCATCTATCTTCGACGCGTGAACTCCTTGTTGTAAGCAAATGGAGCAATTGATCCTGAAGATTGCTCCATGATACGATCGGCTTATTCAGCAATCTCATCCAGCATTCCTCTGTTACCCGCTATGTTGGCTTTCACGTTATCTGGCATTTGTGCCATGCACAGGGCCTTGAAGACGGTTTCGTTGACTTAACCCAAACCTAAATTCTTTATAAATTGCCGGGAATGAGTCGGGATTTTCGTAACCTATTCCATGAGTGGACGGAAGGCGAAGCAATTTCCTTTCCCCGAACTCAGCAAATGTAGCTCCTAGTTTCGCCTTAAGGACTTCTTACTTGCATTGTCCCTGTGACGGATTCAATATTATCTACGAGACGAATTGGAAAGTCCAGGTTGCTGATGATGTGGTCGAATTGTATTTCTGCCTGTGTTGTTCTGAGGAATATTGAATGCTGAATCTACTTGTGCTGCAATATCGGTGTTGTACTGATAATGGCTCAATGGTGTGATGACTGCTTTTTTACTATCCTGCGTCTCGTCTTGCAATTTTTTCTCTGAGGTCGTTTGTAGTTGTTATTGATTAGTGGCTTACCTTTTGCTACAGTACTATTTTTAATTGCTCTCTTAAATAAAACTTAGAGGTACTAGACTTAATTTAATATAACTTAAATAAGAATGCTTTTAATAAATCAAAAGTCTAAAGAAAATTTTAGCAGCAAACATCAATCATTTACAGTACAGCACGCAATGTACTTGACGTAATTCAAAATGAAAAGCTCTGAGAAATGAGCGACCAAGGAAAGGAGGAAGCGTTGCATTAGACACTACGGGCAGCAATCTGTTTCGAAATGCCTTTGTAAGTGATTTTGGCGTCGTACTCAATCAAAATGGGATCACCACTATAGTTGAAGCACTACTGCATTTTCTAAGCTTCATGTCTTTTAAAAATGATGTCAAAAATAACGTGCAGGGAGCGCCCGGGTTACGTGCGGCTATAACGCCAACGCCGTCAATTTCTACTGGCAAAGAGTATAAACCACCGTGAGATTTGTCTACAATACTAAAAGTAAAATTGTCAAAGGCTGTGTAGCTATCAACAGCATTTTCAGTTTTTTTAGTTTTTGACTTTGACCCATAAACTGAGAATATGTGGCTTACTTTCCTGAATTTGAAATTTTTCGCGTCATCAGTGTATGCACGATTTATGTTCCTTTTTTGGTTTCTTCTCATTCTCGGTTTTCTTCTTATCCTCGGCCATTTAGTAAGGCTCAATTTTAGCGTGATTGCAAAGCTTAGTGATTTAAATATATCGCAGTCTTTACACAACATGATGAAAATCTTTTCGGATAAATGAATTATGAAATCAGTATGTATTACATCAGTGCGAGAGCCACTGGAAAAAGCCTTGAAAACATGACTAGTAAACTCCAAGAAATTGGTGACCGCAGATCTTCCTTTCGGAAAGCCATGCTGGTGTGGGGAAATAAACGAATAAAAGGCCTAAATTCCAGGACTGGTTAAACATCTTTGAGATAACACCGCATAGGTCAGCAGCACAAGATTTAAGTAGACATGATGGAAGAGAGGAAATTAAATCTATGTCTTGCCATTGAGTAAGCGAAATGGTCGAAAGAAGAACCACTTTTCGAAAATTTTGTGAAAAGTTTGTTTTCCTATTCTTGTAATATTTAATTGGCTTATTAAACCACAGAAGGATACCTGCTTCGATGACGAGACTGCTTGATCGAAACGAATGCAGAAATAGATTGTTTTAATGTATTGCAAAAAGACGACAGTAGGCTATCAATACTTCCAACTAAGAAATAAAGCTTAATATGTGAAAGACGTGACTTTAGCATTGAAATATTAATTTTATTGAAAAATTTATTTGAAAAAGATGAATTTGGAACCTTAGAGAAGTTCAACGAACCATCATGCTTGTAATGAAACGAACTATCCAATGCGGTATGATAAGGATCCTCATGTAAACTAAAAGGTAAAACAAAGATTAACACAAATCTCAGGAAAATTGGCAAAGCAACGATCAAGCAGTCTACCATTGCAATTACGGGTACAGTTGTATTGAACTAAATTATGATCGAATAATTCATTTAAAAACGCAACAACTCTATCAGATGTTCAGGTAGGAATCAAACAGACAGAACGATCAGTGTAACACCAAGTGAATTGAGACAAATTGAAGTCACCCAACGCAACGACTATATCGGTAGGTTAAGTTGCTTGGCCACTTCACAAATGAGGGCGGCCTGTTTCTTAGATATGGAGATATCCGAATATTGGGGGAATATAGCAGCAGGTTACATATAGGTGTTTATTAGAAAATCTCCCTCGAATGGCGATAAATTCAACATCGGGAGTGGTGGGATAGTCAATTGAATAGGAGGGGACTGCCGCAGATATGGCAATTAAAACACCACCACCATTGCGATACAATCGATCATTTCTGAAAACCTGATGGAAAACCTATGGAAGAGTTCCGACGAATGGAGATCAGGCTTTAACCATGTTTCAGCGAAGGCCAAACAGGAAAACTCCGTGCTCACCGAATTTAGGAGAGTAGAACGAATTTTTGAATTTAGTCCCCTAACATTTTAAAAAATGGAAGATAATGACCCTGAAGAAACATGTAGTTTTTTGAAGGGGAAAGGGCTACTGTATTAGTATTACGGGATCGGTCACGAGGAATGAATTCCTTAATTAGGAATTCGATCGGCCACAATGGTTCATTTAGCATCAAATCCATATTTTCAGTCGAAACAAACGGTACGCAGGATGACATTGTAGAACATGGCTCGTGTCGTATATTTCTATTAACCTTCTTGCTGCATTTGCGTAAGGTTGCCGATCAAAGAAAACAAAAGATACGACAAAAATTATAAAACGTTTTTTTAGGTTTGTTTTAGTTTATATTTGTGGTTGTATATAAAAGTCTTACAAATTAGAAAAATTCAAAAGTATTATTGAAAATTGGTATTTTATTTTCTGTAACTTGAATGCACATAAAAAATTAAAGAAAAGAAAAGGAATGATGCTTGACTAAGTAGTCTGCAAGTTCCGCTGAGATGGGATGTGAATGGGTGTGCGTGTGAGTGAGAGTAAGGAACAGGGAATACCGACTAACACACCAAGAGTGAACCAAAGGACTTACATCATCATGTGTTAGGACCGGAACATGGGCAGTGAGCGGAACA